CAAGAGACTACGATTGACAGATACTTCGTTAGGTGTCAGGTATACAGTGTGACCAATATAGGCAATGTTGCTGAGGAGCTTATAGATGCTAGGTTGAGACAGGAGAGAGGGATGAACAGATGGAAGAATACTTTTATCTTTAGTGAGCCACAGAAAATATATTTAAATGTTCTGAGAAAAATTCAAAGTGCTGAGTCATATAATGACAAGCAATGTAAGTATTACAGTATTATTTTATTATAGATTTAGATAATTCTCAAGGAGGTATGGCTGTTTAAATCTTTAAAGAAATTCTATTTGATCTAGAAATGTTCTGGAACATCCAAATTTTGGAATTCTCCTTCCACCAGATGAATAAAATAATTTGTTAAAAAAACTAACTACTGGGCCCAAAAAGCACTTCTCACATTGTCCAATGTCCATCTGTCTTCCATAGTTGCAGTGTTTATATCCTTATTTGTTTTCCATTAAAACTTATTGCACAATTCTTTATATTCAGCAAACAAGATTACTGAAAATTATAAAAAGACATAAATGACAATCAGATTCTGAAATTCATTTTTCCCCCTTCCATATTTCCAAATTATTTCTTCAAAGAAACAAAGAAACACTTGTGGTAGAAAAATCATCTATCTGAGCAGTTTTAAGAACAGCCCTATGCAATAAGCAAAAATAGAATGGACCCAGAGTTCTAAATTTATGACTCATATATCTAACTACTAGAGCTCTACTTCAGTGGAAAAACTAGTATTCCACTCTCTCAAATGATTTTTTATTTTGTATTTATTTAAAAGAATAGATTGTTTTTGACAGGTAAAGACGATCCAGAATGCAAATTTACCAATATATTAACCATCACTTTTTCTTTTTTCTAAACTGATGCCTAACACTGATGTAAGTATATTCAACTTCCTGACAAACATTTAAGGTAAAACCTATTTCCCACCACAGCCCCTCCTGTACATGGAAATATTTCTACTTAGGAACCGGGGAGTAACTTCGCTTTTAGTACGGATTTTCCAGGTGACTAAAGATACAAGAATTTATTCTTGATCAGCAGCCTGAGAATCAAAAATACAATGGTAAACATGTTAACTACAAAACTATATAAAGAGAACTGAAAAGAGGCCTATGCTAACACATTCAAAAACATTAAATTAAGAGAGGTTAAATACAGAATATCTTGATACTACATGCTAAAAGAGAAATAAATGAAAATTGCTGTAGGGTAGTGTGAAAAAAAATATGGCAACCACATGTCTCAGATTTTTCAAGACAGTCTTAATTCCAAATATTTGTTCCTGTTTTAAATGATATATCCTGACTTTTTTTTTTTTTAAGAGGACTGTCATGTCACTGCAGGACGAGTATACTATCAGAGCTAACATGTTGTAGTAGTTTACAGGACAAAGACGGTGAGTGGGAGACAACAAAAACACCACTCAAAATTTAACTTCCTTTTACCTCTTGGTCCCTGTACTGGTCACTAGTCTTTTTATTTTCTAAAGAACCTAATGTTATCACCTAAAACCTTCACAGGTATTAGTTTAATTCCTGCCTCTCAAGTTTTGTTACTTCTATCTCATTCCTAAACCCATGACCATCTTACTACCTTAATCAATCTCTTCTATCTTCTATCTCTATACTTTAACTGAGACGAGGCTATTGCCTAAGGAACTGCATTTCTGCAGCTCTCTCAAGCTATGAATCTTCATTCTCCCTTGCACTACCTACCCTGGGGTTAGGAAGTGAGCCCTGGGCCCTTCTTTCTTTCTATGTCCCACTTCCCAGTATTATCCAGAATTAATGTATTAAAAGATGCCCATTTTTTTCATAGTGTCTTCCTTGCAAGTGGAATAATTTGCTTCCTGGTAAGCTTTCTCTCTGGAGGAGAGGAGAATTTGGTGGCAGTAAAGTACAATGAAAACAGTCTATGATGCTAAAGAGCTACTGTAGAAGCAGCAGTTGAACAAACAAGCTAGGAAAGTTGTGGTGAGAATGGAATTCTTCAGTAAGTGATTCTGGAGGCAGGAGAGTTTTAAATGACAGAAAGCTCATGAAGCGACAGAGGTCAGTGGAGATGAGAGTGTCAAACGTTAGATGAGTGTGGCACAGGCTGAGGTGTTAGCTTAGATGGTATGAGGGAGAAAAGGTAAGAACTGGTGTGGATATAGAAAGATTTATGGATATGTAGGCAAGAATTTGAAGACACTCCTATCTGATGGCTATTTATTTCTTCAAGTAGAAGTCATCTACTGAGAGAAAAGAGAAACATGGATAGTTGGGAGGTATGAGGAAAGGATACAAGACTTGAAATAATCATCGTGAAGAGTGTTGTGGTTGATCAGGGGAACAGCAGGAGTGTTGTGAAATGTCCAGAGCACAACTGAGATTAGTCCCTGTTACATTCTAGCAGTTTCATCTGATTCCTTCCACCGACTGACTCAGTTCTACACTTTAGCAGGTGTCTTCAAACTACGGCCCGAGGGCCACATGTGGCCCACTGAGGACATTTATCCGGGTGTTTTGCCGCCACTGCCTGTCCTGCTTAGCAGCCAACTCGTCCCAGGCCCACAGTGCGCATGTGTGGAATGTGCGCTGCACTCTCCAATGGCCCTCCAACAGTCTTAGGGACAGTGAACTGGCCCCCTGTTTAAAAAGTCTGAGGACCCCTGTGTTAGAGTAACACAGAATCACCAGGAATGCTTATTAAACACAGATTGCCCCATTATCCCAGAGTGTCTGATTGAAGAAGTCTGGAATGAGACCCAGGAATCTGCATTTCTAACACGTTCCTAGGTGATGCTGCTGCTGCTGGTTCTGGGACGCCACTTGGAGAACCACTCTAAGTCTTTCTCCCTTCTAATAATTCCAACTCCCAAATCCCTGAATTTGATACAATTCACCTTTTAAAAAATGCATCCTGAAAACAATCTAGACTGAATCTACCAATTCATCAAGTCGCTCTTCTGGTTCCCCAAATTCCTTTGAGATGTTTTCAATAAACTCAACCATCTGGTATTATCCACAATGTTTTTAATAAACTCACAATAAACTTAACCATCCAGCATTACTTACAATGTATTCCAACATAATCCTCCTTTCTAGTTAGGCATTTTCTTCATGTTTCATGCAATTCCCACCCAACTCCATCTACCAGTATTATCAAATGAATGTTCTCTACAATGCTTTACAATAATCTAATAACCCACAGCTAAAGAATATCTCCTTTATAAAGTTTCCTGCATTCTGGTCCAAACTGTTGTCTTCCTTTACTGAACTACTACTGCACCAAGAGTCTTTATCACCTCATTTCGCATTTTAATAATTTTTTAACAATTCTCATTTATCTATATAAACCAATGTAAGATACTTGATAAAAAGAGTAAGGCCTTTATACATTATGTATCTTCCACAAAGTACATAATGTATAAAGTACTCAAGAAATTATAGGTACTCAGTAGATTGACTGTATGTAAATCTTACTTATATATAAAGTTTATATAAAATAAATTGAAGGTTACTATCAATTGTATACTCCTATATATTTCTGCATAGAGATCACAAATGTGATCTTCTTTAGATTATAAATTTTAAAAAGATCTTGAATGCATCTCAAAACCAGTGTGTAAAAAAATGCAAAAAATGCTAGGTGAATAGGGCATGCTATATGTTTCTTTGTGTCATAACATATTTTGAGTACTATTTTTTATAAAACAGAAAAATCTAGCAGACTTTTCTTCATAGTAATACAAGGAAATGATTTTCCTATTTGGTTAACTTGCATTGAAGAGTAAAAAATAACATTAAGAGTGTTCTATTGAGTAGAAATTTTATATCTATACAATTTGTTCAATTTTCATATCAGACTAAAGTCAAGATCAGAATTTCTTCCTACCTAAGTCCTACGCTTTATCTTCTGATAGTTATATTGCCCCAAATATAATAAATTTCAAATATTATCATTATAATCATTCCCATTTGTACCCACATTACCTCATTATTACAGATTCAGGCCTGTAATATTCCTAAAATATCTTGCCCAGAAACATATTCCTCCATTTGAACTATCAACTAAATACACATTTGATTAGCTTCCAGCAAAAGACTAGATGTGAACATTCAATCAACAATTGCCAAATGTGAGGAAGACAGAAAATAAGAATTAAATTCATGTTTTAATTTTTTATACCTGCCAAATAAAATTAAGATTTGTCCTGCAGCTTACTGAGGGGAACAACAAAATAACAAAGGCTTATTTTCATTCTTTTATTGTATCTTTAGAGACTTAGCTGAAAATAGCCTGATATTGACAATAGAAAAATTCCTATGGATTTTCCTTCTTTTTACAAAACACTGGGCTGTATTTAGGTCCCAAGTCAAGATGTGGTTCTAAGTTCTCCAGTTTCTCAGCCACATGAATTCTTCCTACCTGAAAGTAGCATGGCTTAGTCTTTGTGTAATACTGGATGTCTGGAGAATTACTGATAAATTATCTTTAGAGGTAAGCACAGGAAAAACAGAATAATCAGAAATTTTGCAGAGACAATCTCTTTATAAAAAATGCCCTACATACTAAGTCAGATATATCATGGGGCCAAAACTATGTAACAATACCAGCATGCTTCCTGTTTTCTCCCAGCCAAAGAAATAAATCAGAAAATAGCTATAGTTAATCAAATGGGGACCAACTGATAAGATGCAAAGCAGAAAGTTTATTTGTACACAGAAGTTGTCTCTATTCACTGCATTTCTCCTTTCTGGTTTATTGGATTACATTTTCTCAACAAAGCTACATACCTTTGAAAAAGAACGGAACTTCCAGAAAAAGATTGCATCCCACATGTCATTACTGTCATTTCCATATTGTTATACTAAAACTACATTAGGTGAAATTCCTTTGGGCTTCCTGAAAGAGTCTTGTAAGACTACTAAAGAAGTCGATTATAATGTAACTGAAAAAATGATAAGACAATCACACAAAACAAGTAACCACATACCAACTGCTGTCATGTAATCCCAGCGGTCAATGAGGCACATATTGAAGATGAGGTGATCGGATGTTTGCCCCTGGCCAATAAGTGAAATCTGCCTCTCCAAATTCTGGCATACAGATGAAGTCCAGCCAATGAGAAACCAAAACACCACCAAGAGTATTACTGCCAACATCCTCATGACCCGTCCACCAGTCATATATGGAATTCGTTGGGCCGTTCGTGAAAGAAACACCTTCAGAACCCTAGAAAAGCAAAAGTTCAAAATATGAGGGCAAACCTAACATTCAAAAACTAAAACTCTAAAATAACTTATTTTTCTAGGTGTAATTTAAACCCTCTAAAATCCACTTATGCAGAACTTTGATTTGTTTTGTTTTGTTTTAGAGATAAGGTCTTGCTCTGTCACCCAGGCTGGAGTACAGTGGCGTGATCATAGCTCACTGCAGCCTTGAACACCTGGGATCATGTGATCCGAGGTGTTCCTGACTCCTGACTCAGACTCCTGAGTGGCCAGAACTATAGGTGCACACCACTGCACCCAGCTTATGTAGAGTTTCAACATGAGAAAAAACAGAAATAATATTGCTCATATTTTTATTTAATTTCATTTTAGTTTATCTTCCAATAACAAAACTGATATACAGTATTAGAGGCCATTAAGTCAATAGGTTCATATATAATGGAATTCTTTTGAGCATGTCTTAATATTTCAAGGAAAATTCTCAGGACTTTAGAAAGATCAGTAGGCAAACATTGTTCAAATAAGGTTTCTAGGGGATTATAAAAAATAGTCCTGAAAATAATTAGTTGGCTTTTACAATATTATACTAAGTCAAAACTTTCTTGAACCAGTTGTTTTTTATAGTAAAATGTTATTAAAGATATTTTCTGGAAATCACTTCATATTACCTTCCTTCATGGTCATTTTATCACATTACCAAAGATAATAATGAAATAATCATAAAAACAATGAGAGGAAAATTTAAACACTAGGCTAATTGAATAAGATTATATTAAGGAAGAAAATTGGGGTGACCTATAAGAAATGTGATTTTAAAAACTTAGAGTTTTTTCTGTATATCTGAGATGAATAGCCATGGTTAAGAACTACTGAATTAGATGATATCTAAGAACTGTTCCATTTCTAAATATTGTGTGAAGACAAATCCAGCCTTACTATAGGGATCCTCCATTCACCCAATCTTCAATTGCATCCCTAGAATATTCTCAGCTGATTTTAACTCCCCGCACCCATTCTAACATTTTGTCACAAAATTATGACTTGATATAAACCACCATGAGTGGTTCATGATATTATGAAAGTATCTATAGTCAATTTCCATAAGAAAAAAATAAATGCCTTTTCCCAACTCTCTATTCCCTCCTTCAATTCATTTTTCAACAATTTTTAAGCCATATGAATTTTTTAATGAAAATCACCAAAAATCCTGGAATGAAGCAAATACACCTGAAATATTCTACATGTATTATGCTGTATTTTCTCATCTGTATATAGACCTTTGTCAGCTCTATTTGAATTAACACAACACATCCAGTAAAGAAAGTTATTTTGCAACCAATTCTTTTTTATGCCCTTTTCAATATCTTGAATCCTATTGTCCTCCAGCTAATCCAGAGGGTGAAGTTATTTAATTGCACATAAAATATGTGTCTTCAATTTCTCTGTGTAACAATGTCAGAAGGATAGTAGTATCAAATAAGGGTATAATAGAAGATCTCCTAACCACTCTCCATTTAACCTGTTCCCCAGATTCACAGTTAATCTCCATTCCTTATATAAGGATGGTTTTATCCTTAATTATATAAGGTGCCCATGTCATGGAGAACATTAACACTGGCAAGTAACTTGCTACTACTCTTTAGTACACCTCAAGCATTTTTGCTCCAGCCAGTTTAATTATTACTTGTTATGAATTAGTTGTGTTTCTTCCCAAATTATGCCAGTTGTTATCATATGATTAATTTAATTAAATATCAAATAAAATAATTATACATGATTGAGAAACAAAAGGAGACATTTCTATAAAATCCGTCTTGAATGTTTTGGAAAGATTCTAAAATAAGAAATTAAAATAAAGCATTAACTTAGAAGAAAGTATAGAAAATTTGATATGTAGGAATGGTCAATAAACATAAAAAGCTAGAAAAATTTTATACTCAGATTATTTCAAAAGAATTCTTTAGATTTTTGCTCCTATTTAAAGAATGAACATTGCGAACACAATGTTACCTATTCCAACACAAGGCAGCAGATAATGAATTTTGGTGATTTATGCTAGAAAGAGAATAATAAACTCTACATATCAAACCCATAGTCAAAAAAAAGGACTTATTTTAAAAAGACTGGTGAATGATTATTTGTGTGTTTTAAATTACAGTACCTATACACTTTTTAAATACCTTTCTCCTTTAAAAACCTTTATCAACAAATGGACCAATTACTAATCCCAACTATATTGGATAAGAAGGCTTCCATTGTAATCAACAGACAAAGATTCAAGAATTCTACCCTACACATGAGAGAAATTTCTTGGAAAATTAATATTTTTATAAGTTCCCATCTTATTTTATGTTGGAGAAACTTGCAGTCGCCGTGTACACATAATTGTTTCTAGTTGTACCTGGATGAATTCTAAATTTTGAATGACTAGGCTCTCAAGAGAGAACCTGACCCATTTTTCTGGTCTTCTATACTTTGGCTATGACAGAAAAAGAGAAAACTGTTCCAAATTCTAGCTTCACTCTTAATTTGAATATGCGAAACATAATTATAAATATAATTGTAATGAACAACCATTTACATAATGACAACCATATGTTAGGCACCATGCTGGGCAACATGGGAGACACAGGATTCTTGCCTTCTAGAAGCAGCTTGCAATCTAACTAGAAATAAGTCTGCATACATCTCTAGGCTTAACTTGGAAAAAAAAGTTTGCAAATAGCTATCCTGTGATAGCATATATTATGTACTGTATGTAGCTAGTTACTCTACTAACCTAATAGAACAGGTGGTATTTGATTTGGGCCTTGAGGGATATCAACAGGTAGAGATGAAAGAAAGTGATTGAGATATGAGGAGATATTCTAGTTGAAGGTAATCAGGTAACAAAGGGCAAAGCAGGGAAATGTAAATTGTCCTTGGGGACAGTGGGAGGAACTGCTTGGCAGGAGGGGAATTTTGGTTCTCAATACCCAGGAACTCCTAGGGAATTTTCAGGTTACTGTGAGGAGTTTCCATCAGGTTGAGAATGATGCTTCAGAGAAAAATTGTTATGATCTATATTTTCTTTCCATGGCCAAGATGTGGGAAATAATTTATTTTCTGATACTTAAAATTTTTCACAGTCTTCATTGAACTCTAAATCTCAAAGAAAGCTAATAGTGGATTTGTTAAATAACTGTCTCCTTTAAAATACTTCTTAATCAGATGAGGTTTGTCTTTTGCAGAGGAAATCTATACAGCTCCAGTTTGGTACGTTTTTAGTCAAGAAATTCCATTTCTAAATTATCAGAAACGTTTATGTTTTCCAGAGGACCCTTTGGGCATTTACTGTATAGGCTGAGAATTCAAGATTGTCCTAAATCTCAGATCTCATTTCCAGAGAGAAAAACCAAAGCAAAAGCCCCCATGAGTCTCCCATTATTGATTTTACTGGCTTTCTGATAACAGGAAACATAATAACACAACTCTGTACTTGAAGAATTTCAGAATATTGGTTTTTGCCAAATGGAATAAGATGTACTTTTCTAGGATTGCCTCAAAATAAAATGAGGAAATTCTGCTATATTTTAAAAAAATGAGCTCTTATTACCTTATCTGAACTCACTCCTAGAAATCAAGTTATAAAAAAGAATACCTAAACAGGTGTTTGTATGAAATATAACTGCATAAAAAATACAATCATTAGACTTCCTATATAGATGACTTTTCCACTATTTTCTCACAAATAGATCTTCAGGAGACCATCACAAGGTTTCACTATTTCTGAAGGAAAGCAGCAACATATATGAAAAGATTAAGAAATTCCCAAAATTGAATATGAAAAGGCATATTTAAAGTATACATTCATTTTTGTTATTAGTAGATTAAGTTCATGGAAATCATGCTAAAATGAGAAAGAAAAAGGGCAACCCAGGAATTGTCTGTCATTTTATTTATCTGTTTCTACTTTCTCACTTTCCATACATTTCTGCTCCAAGCTATACAACTCCACGTATGGATGTGTACTTAGGTTACCAAAGACCTTCTTCCAGAATCTGACTGATACTGTTCACTCCTTATTTTACTTTCTCTCTCCTCAGCTTTTGGCATGGCTGAAGCACTTGCCTTCCATTATGTCACCTTATTTTTCTCCTGCTCTTCTCTTCCTTTCTTCCTACTTCTCTGTCAGCTCCTTTTCGGTCACTGTTGCAGATTCCTCTTCCTCAATCTGCCTCTTAAATGGCAGAGTTTCTCAAGGATCATCTAAATGTGGCTGTCTTCTACTCTTACTCTACCCATCATACCAAAGCAGTGCCACGTGCTCCTCTGTTTCAGTTATGCGCTACATGCCAGCAAGTCCCACATCTAGATTTCCAGTTCAGATCACTCTCCTGAGCGCAGCACTGTAAACTCAACAGCCTATTGGACACACAGGTCTTGAAATAAAATCACCCCTCTCTTTACTCTTCCTGTCTCCAGCCCACTTTGCTCTTTTGCTGCCTGCCTCAGTGAACACACTCACCTCACTGCACAAAGCAGAAGCCTAGGAATAAACTTTGATTTTTCTCTTTCACCTGCATTCCACTAATCAAACAAATCACCAAGAATTTAATTCCTATTTCCTAAATATCTTTCAAATCTGTCTATTTTTCTTCATCTTCAATGCCACTATGCAACTCCTGGCCACCAACTCGTTCCTGTAGTAAGTAGCGTCCTAACTAGTTTCTTTACCAGTTTCGCCCACCTTCAATCCACATTCTACGCCGAAGAGACATGATCCTTCCATACTGTGTATTTGACCATGTTGCCCCCATTTACAACCCTTCCGTGGCTGGCCACCCAAATCCTAGCTCCTTAGTATGGCAAAGGCTTCTAGAAATTGGTTCCTCCTTGCCTCAGCAGCCTCATCTCTCTGCACTCTCTCTGCAGTCCTGCAGGGCCCTCTGGACTACATGCCGGTGTCCTCTACCTGAGCCTTCGCCCTCAGGGTCCCTCAAGACTTCCCCTTGCACAATG